ATATGTATCAAATTACTTCGAAAGTATAAGTAAAAGTTTTAGCCCTCAGCAACGAATTGACATCCCAATAAATAAAACTTATTATTATTCTTCATCAAATTAGTAACATATATTGCTTTAAAACTTACCTTATGGGCAAACCGCAAAAATCATTCGGCTGATCATATGCTTGTCAAGCAGAATATAAAGTAAACCGGAAGTTGTCAGGTTTGATCGTTCACCCATCTAATTAAAGGTTATTTCTTTTTCAATATTCACTTTGCAATTATAAACTTCAAAATTTAGTCTTTTTTGAAAAAAAATTCTGGAATATCATACAAAAATATGCGATGATTAGGCCGAGTAAGTTGAACATTGCGAGCTGTCAATCAAATTCCCTTATCTCCATTTATAGAATTACGCGAACTTTCAAATTATACCCACTATATTTGTAATACAGTAATTCAAGCTATATTGCATATGATTTTCAAAAGAATAAATTTGTTATCTCTTCTTCTATTCGCAATAATTCAAAGTTTTCAGGAATACAGAATTTTTTTTTCTCGCGTCGGTCATGATCGGATGATCACTATGCATTTAATTTCCTTGAAAATGTAAGAACACAATATAGCATTTATAGTGGTGATGAAATGTCACAGCAGTGGACGTTATCCTGTATGGTTGGACATGTTCGGTTTGTAAGTACACTAGTTGGGACTAGTTGGGACTTCGTCCCAACTAAAAATGATACGAGGTGCGGTACTTGATGTTGTTAACTACGCTCTTACTTTATGACATTCACATATTTTGTATTACTTTATGACATTCACATAGTCTGCCTTACTTTATGAAATTTACATAGGTGGTTTTTCTATATGTCATTCTCATAGTCGGCCTTACTTTATGACATTAACATAGACGTCTTACTTATAACATTCACATAGACGTCTCACTTTTCACTTTATGTAAAAAAGAAAGTATAAGTAAAAGTTTTAGCCCTCAGCAACGAATTGACATCCCAATAAATAAAACTTATTATTATTCTTCATCAAATGAGTAACATATATTGCTTTAAAACTTACCTTATGGGCAAACCGCAGAAGTCATTCGGCTTATCATATGCTTGTCAAACAGGTCATAAAGTAAACCGGAAGTTGTCAGATTTGATCGTTCACCCATCTAATTATAGGTAATTTCTATTTCAATATTCACTTTGCAATTATAAACTACAAAATAATTTCAATATATCAAAACAATATTCAATAAAAATTGTCTTTTTCAAAATTTTGTGGAATATCATACAAAAATATGCGATGATTAGGCCGAGTTTGTTGAACATTGCGAGCTGTCAATCAAATTCCCTTATCTCCATTCATAGAATTACGCGAACTTTCAAATTATACCCGCTACATTTGTAATACAGTAATTCAAGCTATATTGCATATGATTTTTAAAAGAATTAATTTGTTATCTCTTCTTCTATTCGCAATAATTCAAAGTTTTCAGAAATACAGAGCACTATTTGTCACTAGCGTCGGTCATGGTCGGATTATCACTATGCATTCAATTTCGTTGAAAATGTAAGAATACAATATAGCATATATAGTGGTGATGAAACGTCACAGCAGTGGGCGTTACCCTGTATGGTTGGAAATTTCCGGTTTGTTAGTACACTAGTTGGGTCTTGTCTTGTCCCAACTTAAACAAGTTAAATGTTTCATGCTTCACATCAAAGACGCCGCCAAATGATGTGAACAGTCAATCAGCATTGAAATTCGTTCTCTATTACAGTTGAATATCCGGAGCACAAACCAATTTTGTCTGCATGTTCTTAGTATGTGCTCGTTGTTTAATAATTAAGTTGCATATTTTTCTTAAAAAGTAGAACCTTATGCATTAATTCACAAAGTAATGCCATGTCTGAAATTCTGAAAAATTTGTCTGTTGCGACAAAGATTGAAACGTCTGGTCGAAGCAAAATAAATTGGATAAATAGTAAAATTGAAATGATTGGTGTACTTAAAATAAATTCAAGACAATATGTGCCGATAATATGTACATTTTAATATTGGTACGAATTGCATAATGTTCGAATGATTTTGAGGACGAAATGTTCTGCTGTGATCTCCCTTTACTTGTAGCGTAACCGGTGCGCAGAGTTGGCGTACTTTCTTAACGGTTGAGGGAGAACCACCTCTCTGATAATGGGCTTGGTTTAGGCTTTGTAACTTGTTATTTAATGATTCGGCAAGTGATATTGATCAAAGTTGTCCTGGTTCCCTGGTTCAACGAAGACTAAATGCTACATACGGAGCATCATATTAAATTTGGCGACAATTTAAAGCGGATCCGAACTTTAACAGAGGCGGAGCAAAAGAAGTGAGTGGCACTGCCTCAGTCGTCACCTCTCTCAATGGTTAAGTTTTAGAACGATCGACTATAGACTGGCTCATTTTCACGTTATTTATAATGTTGATAAAATTAGATAATAATAAAAAGAATAATTATGATATTCAAACATGTCACTTCAGTTACACGTTTATTCTAACCCCATAAAGCTCTGTGACATATTGTACATTAAAATAGCTATTTTTATTAGAAATTTTGACGTGAATTTGTTTAAACAAAATAAAATACACAAAATCAAGTCTAAAATTTTCCCCATTGCTGTATGGACAAAAGCATATCTACTAGACGCCGCGTTCTACGAGGTGCGATGCTTGATGTTGTTCACTACGCTCTTACTTCATGACATTTACATAGTTTGTATTACAATATGACATTCACGTAGTCGGCCCTACTTTATGATATTCACATAGACGTCTTTCTTTATGAAATTCACATAGATGTCTTACTTTATGACATTCATATATGCGGTCTTACTATATGACATTCACATAGGCGGTTTTACTATATGATATTCTCATAGTCGGCCTTACTTTATGACATTCACATATACGTCTTATTTCATGACATTCACATAGACGTCTTACTTTATAACATTCACATAGACGTCTTACTTTTTTACATTCACATAGGTGGTCTTACTATATGACATTCACATAGTTGGTCTTACTATATGGCATTTACATAGTCGTCTTACTTTATGAAATTCACATCGTTGGTCTTACTACATGACATTCACATAGTTAGTCTTACTATATGACATTTACATAGGCGGTCTTACTATATGTCATTCTCATAGTTGGTCTTACCAAATGACATTCACCTTGTCTTACTTAGAATCTAACTATGAAAAGAGTACAACTTTGCCTTTAGAGTGAGTAGCGATATAGAAATGATCAAATGTCAGACGCAAGAAGTATAACTGCACATAGCAATATCTAACATTTACAGGTTTTTCAAAATCGTTTCGATGGATCTGTGAATTTAACTCGAAATTTCAAAGAATATACAAAAGGATTTGGAAACTACTCGGGATAATTTTGGCTTGGTAAGCATATCAGACACAGTGAACCTAATATTTCTCAACACATACCGTAGATTTACTTTAATATGCTATGATAATCAGTTAAAGAAATTCAACTTTGTTTCATATGCTGGACATCTTAGTTAAAATAATTATTAGATCACACATTTAAGACAAAATGGAAATGAATAATTCATTTCTATTATGATATATCATTACATCATATAACTTCAAAGGCATTTATACATATATATTATGTAGACAAAAAGGAAAACATAATTTGATATTTTCATTTTATAGGATTAAAATACGCAGAAGAAATGGCCTCAAATGGACCAACTGAACTAAGAATAGATCTCACAGCAGCAGATTACGCCATTGCTTACGAAGTTTTTCCAAAATTTCATCTTGGTTCATCTCCCGGATATGAACTCCATATAGATCCGGGAACTGGTACTGCTGGTACAAAAGAATCCTCTTATACTATGATCTGAAAAACAAAACAGACTTAATTCAAGTTAAAATAACCTGTAATTTTACTCAAAGAAACGAGTTTCTAGTGAAGCAACGCAATAGAAGAAAATTAATTTATCTTTTCATATAGCATCATGAAGTTAAACAGGATTTGCTCTTGTCAGAGGATTGGAACTGACATGACATGGTTGGGTATGTGTATATCTCTAGTTTGTAAACTAAGTGTTAAGTCAATTCAGACCTGCGGAATGTAAGTGTGAAAAAAACATCATTTGAGACTATTATTTAGAATTCCATTTGTGTGCAAAAACTCAAAGAAGGTGTGACAATAAAAGAAATCTTTTATTTAAATTGAATTTATCATTATAAAAATGAGCTTAATCTTTCGAGGAAAAGTTCGTATATGATTCATTAACATAAGATATGCAAGGAATTAGAGAAAACATATGGTCAAACATCTACTAAAAAAGTTGATATGACATGAAGGTATCATACCGACATGCAAAAAAAAAAACTGTTCATTTATATGTCTTATATATTGTGTCATCATATAATATTCATTGTTATTAAAATTATTGAATTTGATTGCAACTTACTCTATATTTTAATTATCTTAAAATACGGCGGCCAACTTGTGACACCGATTAGGACAGTGCAAATTGCATTTTCATTAACTATAGCTTTTTAAGTTTTAAAATAAAAATTAACTGTTAAGTTTAATCTGATATTTAGAAACCCTTGTATACTGACATAGACCGGTATGTCCCAAAAAAGAGACCAGATATCCGCATTCGTTTGCAGCATTAACATGTTAATGGCACCATAGCCGAGTGGTTAACGACTCGGAGTATCAATCAAAAGATTTCTGGCCACATGCTCCAAACACGTCAGGGGCAAGCCATTGTTTCCGTGAGCAATAAACTAAAGTACTGGTTGGTTCCAAAGTGTTTTAATAGGCTTAATTTAATTTTAAGTATTTAAGTCGTATAAACCCAAGTGGAGTTATATTAAAATGAATTGGCCGTTACTCTATAATGTACATGTCATACATTTAATTTTATATCAGAAATATTCTCTTATGATAAGAGCAGTCTAAACAGGCTTTATCTATGTCATAACTTTGTCCTTTTGACTACATAGTTCACAATTATATATGTCACAATCGAGCGTTATCTTTATGGAACTTTAGATAAATGTGTTTCAATAGAAATCGTAGTGTGAAAACAGAAATATTATGGGTAAGTTAAAGAAATAAATCATTAAGTATTTTATTTAAATAATGATCAAAGTAGAGTGTTGTAAGTCATACAATCATGTAATTTTTGGTTGTTTCTTTTAATGAATTTGAGTTGTTGTGGTTTTCTTTTTTATTAAATAAAACAAAAATATAACGAAAGATAAATGTTTTTGTTTCAACATGATTTATGCATTATTTCTTTTGCATTTTATAAACTATAAACTCTTTAGCCGTTATGTTAAAAAAAACAACAACACGTATGCTCAAAATATTGTGAGAAAGGAATAAAATGCCGTCGTCCTTATCTTTCTTTCTCTGTCTGTTACTTTTTGATAAATAGAAAATCTAGAATATCATGCATGAAGTGTATGCTATTGTTTCGTTATTGTTAAAATAACAACTATTTAATATTTTACTCTTGTAAATACCATTTGTGTTTTATCGAAAGTTACTTTTGATTTTTCCATTTAATAAAAATTTGATATTCAGCAAACAAGTTTGCTCTATCAAAGTTTGGTATCTGATTGGCTTATCTTTCAGATGACGCAATTTATATGGTGCTTCTTATAGCCTTGGTGGGATACTCTGGTTTGTATAACTATATTGAAAGCATCGTTTAAATAAAGTGGCTGATTTGTTTAACTTTTGTGCGTGGATTTGTCGGCGCCTTATCGCATTGTCGTCTTGCCTCTAGCAAACACGCCAAACGGCGAAGTGTTGCGATGGCACATTGTCGCTTATAGAAGAATTTAATATTTGGCGCTTCGACGAGCCATTTGACATCACAATTTGAAGCCAACCATTAGATAAAAGCCAAACTCAGTGCGCCATGGCGACAACACGCCGCCCCAAAATGCGCAGTTTGGCGCATTTCGCAGCGACAAGACGTCAAGACAAAAAGGCGATATCGATATTTGTTGTGTTGACACAAGCAAAAGTGTAACAAATCAGCTACCATATTAAAAAGATCTTGAATTTTACAAATATAAAGAAGACTGTGAAAAATAAATGGCCCCTAAATATTATTCACTTCAAATAAAACAAAGTAAAATTTGAAGAATCAAACATTGCCAATTTTCAATGGTGGCTGATTTGGAACATTTTTGTGCGTCGTGATGTGGCTAGCGTCAGAACGACAAAGCGCAAAACGGCACATGGTCAGAGTTTTGCCTTGTCGTCCTGTCAATAACGATGTACGCCAATCGGCGCGGTGTTCTGATGCGTGTTGTGACGATATCACATTGTCGCTCGGCTCAAATTGAAGGATTGGCTTTTTGTATATATTTAAGCAAAGCAACAGGGCAACATCACGGCAACGCGCTGCAGGACAACGCGTCGTTTGATGTGCTTTGCTAGCAACAGGACGACAAGACGACAGTGTGATAATATAGCGACAAGACGACAAAACAATATAGGTTGTATTGCCGCTGTCGACAAACAAGACGCAAAGTGTTCCAAATCAGTCAGCATACAATTCAAAAATAATTGTCTATGTCTTGCGAAACAAAGCGATCATATAAGAATTTTCACTAGTAATGTAATGCGGCAGTGTTAAAAAAATCAAACAGCGGACGGTTATTTTTGCCATCCACCGTCCGCGCACTGCATATAAATATATATGTAAGGAAGCGCCCTGGTGCCGATTTATAATGCACTATAAATGGATAACTCCTACAAGGAAGATAAAAACGGTAATTAGGAGTTTATAACTCCTACATAGGAGTGTTTCTCATACGTAGGACTATATAAACAAGCAATTATCATAGTATTGCAAGCAATCCGTAAGTCCCCTACCGGTTAGAACCCCAGCAGCATTCTGATGGGCCATTGGCCATTCAATTTTACCAGTGGACGAATGACATGAATGAACTTAAATCTTTTGAGTTCTAAGGTTGTTCTATATCACAGTAATGTGTTAAGTTTCCCTGCCTAGTAAGGAAATTCTGTTTAAACAACCTTGTCATATTATTATGATGTGGGATTTTAAAGTAAATCCTATAAGGAATGAAGAAGTTGGAGTGAAAAATACCAATTGCTCGAAAAAAATCTAAGTTCAAGGGGGAGATAATTCTGGAAATAGTCTTGCTAGAGTATCTAACCTTCTCAAAAATGTTGAGTGATAATAAGAAACATATATATGAAGTTTGAAGTAGATACATTAGGAAATAAATAAGTTATTTAAAAAAGACAACATTTTTTTCATAAAAATTCTAAGTTCAAGGGAGGTAATACTGATAATTTTTGTGCTAGAGTTGTAAACCTTGTCACATATGATGTGATTGATGGCCAGAAACTTATATTAAAAGTTTGAAGTAAACACCTTAAGAAATAAAGAACTTATAGTGAAAAAGCTGAAAAATTTAAATCAGAAATCTTGAAATTCAGGCTATTTGTTGCCATAGCAACCATAATTTTCAACATAGGAAGAAAAGAAAAAGATGTGCATAATCTCCAGACTGCCATCTACCCATATTTGAAGTTTCATAAAAATATTTTCAGTTTTTTTTTAGTTATCACTGGATCCAGTTTATGCCATAATTTGCCTTATTTTCAGACTATTTGTTGCCATAGCAACCAGAATTTTCAACATAGGAAGAAAAAAAAGACGTGCATAATGTCCATACTGCCATCTATCCATATATCAAGTTTCATAAAAATATTTTCAGTACTTTTTGCGTTATCGCGGGATCCAGTTTTGTGGACGGACGGACGGACTGACGGACTGACAGACAGACAGACTGACAGGACAGACAGACGGACAGACAGACAGACGGACAGACAGACAGACGGACGGAGGGTAAACCTAAAGTCCCCTCCGGTTAAACCGGTAGGGGACTAATTATACGTAGGATTTATATCAAAGCGCTGAAAGCACTCAGTGCGATGGACATGTATGCTACAGCATTACTTAGTATAGCATCCTTTATAGTAAAATAAATTCTATATGTCAAATTGTTATTGTAGCAAGCCGCTTTAGTAACTAAGCTTATTCTGTAGGCAGAGATGATTTAGAGCGAAAAAAAAAGAACAAACAAAAAAACCCACAAAAAAACCTCTAAAATCTTATATATTGTTGAGCAGTAAAACTTGATCCGGAAATTGAAAGTCACTGAAAATGTCATTTTCTTCATATAATAAAAATGATTCTGTATTTTGTACATTTTGTAATATTGACTGTATAAAGGAATTGGTATAGGTTAACTTTGTTCAAACTAGGACATAATTAATATTTAAACATGCATGCAAATCGCAACTTTTCGGAGCTTGAACAAGTCACTCCACCACCCCACCCCAAGCATGTAATCAACTGAAACGGCCGAAAATAGATAAATTTCTCGTTTAGGTAAGCTAGTTCGTGTGAAATCTTTAAAACCGTTTAAGATTTTTAATAATAAGACACCTAAATGCTTGTTGGCGAGTAGAATGTTCGAAGTGTTGTGAAGCATTTCTTTGGGATACATTGCCAATGCTTACAAACGCTTAACCCCAAACACTTCACCTAAGGCTTTATAAGGAAATATCTAATCTAGAAAAAGGATTGGATGGGGATGAAGTGTCTTACAATGTTAACTGTCTTAAAATGTGAATTGTCCACAAAATTTGAGATTTGGAATGTTATGATGTGTCTTGTTCTATCGCCGATATACCGGCCAGGAAAGTTATAAACTCCTATTTAGATTTTCATCTCCTACGTAGGAGATGTAATCTCCGATTTAGAGTTCTATTTCCTATGTAGGAGTTATTAAGCCCTACTTAGGGAGAAATAAAGTCATACGTAAGAGTTATAAACTCCTAACTACACTTTTTATATCTCCTGTGTAGGAGTAATAAAGTGATAAGAATACAGTACGCCGTTAGGTTGATATATGTAATGATACTTTAGTTGTCAAAATACGAATGTTTCTCCACCAATGTTGTTTTTTCAGAAGCTCTTGAATGTTACAGCAACTTCTGCTCAAATGTTGTTGATAAAGTTAAATGCAATATCACAACAAGCACTCTATCGTGTTCAGCTGGTCAGGTAAGAAAAATCGTTTAGTAGCCACGAAGGCAAAATATACTTAATTGAATATCATACACATTAATGAATATTTAAAATGATACTTGAATTTAATTGTGATGGTCTAAACGAATACAAAATTACAATATTTGCATTTCAAGTACAGAGTAGATAAAGTAATAAATCACATTTCACACAGATGTGATAAAAATATTAGCTAAAACTGCTTTACGACAGTGGCGATCAAAATTATGCGTAAAAAATTCATACGACTTACTTACTTACTTACTAACTAACATAGGAATCCTTTTCTTGTCTTTTTTCAATAGTCATTATGTGTTCAATTATTTTGAAAAGAAAAAAAATGAGATGAAATAATTGATAAAAACGTCGAAATTATCATGTCGAAGGTCATACAGTTGAAATGGTGAACCTATTATTAGTCCCCTACCGGTTTACCGGAGGGGACTTTAGGTTTACCCTCCGTCCGTCTGTCCGTCCGTCAGTCCGTCCGTCCACAAAACTGGATCCCGCAATAACGCAAAAAGTACTGACAATATTTTAATGAAACTTGATATATGGATAGATGGCAGTATGGAGATTATGCACGTCTTTTTCTTTTCTTCCTATGTTGAAAATTCTGGTTGCTATGGCAACAAATAGACTGAAAATATGACAAATTTTACACATAAACTGGATCCCGCGATAACGCAAAAAGTACTGAAAATATTTTTATGAAACTTGATATATGGATAGATGGCAGTATGGAGATTATGCACGTCTTTTTCTTTTCTTCCTATGTTGAAAATTCTGGTTGCTATGGCAACAAATAGACTGAAAATATGGCTAATTTTACACATAACCTGGATCCAGTGATAACACAAAAAGTACTGAAAATATGTTTATGAAACTTGACATATGGGTAGATGGCAGTATGGAAATTATTCACATCCTTTTCTTATCTTCCTATGTTGAAAATTCTGGTTGCTATGGCAACAAATAGACTGAATTTCAAGATTTCTGATTCTAGTTTTTAAGTTTTTTCACTATAAGTTCTTTATTTCTTAAGGTATTTTCTTCAAACTTTAAATATAAGTTGCTTGTCATCAACCACATCATATGTGACAAGGTTTACAACTCTAGCACAAAATTTATCAGAATTACCTCCCTTGAACTTGAAATTTTCATGGAAAAAACATTGTTTTTTTTAATAACTTCTTTTTCTGAATGTATCAGTCCCCTACCGGTTTACCGGAGGGGACTTTAGGTTTACCCTCCGTCCGTCTGTCCGTCCGTCAGTCCGTCCGTCCACAAAACTGGATCCCGCAATAACGCAAAAAGTACTGAAAATATTTTAATGAAACTTGATATATGGATAGATGGCAGTATGGAGATTATGCACGTCTTTTTCTTTTCTTCCAATGTTGAAAATTCTGGTTGCTATGGCAACAAATAGACTGAAAATATGACAAATTTTACACATAAACTGGATCCCGCGATAATGCAAAAAGTACTGAAAATATTTTTATGAAACTTGATATATGGATAGATGGCAGTATGGAGATTATGCACGTCTTTTTCTTTTCTTCCTATGTTGAAAATTCTGGTTGCTATGGCAACAAATAGACTGAAAATATGGCAAATTGTACACATAAGCTGGACCCAGTGATAACACAAAAAATACTGAAAATATGTTTATGAAACTTGACATATGGGTAGATGGCAGTATGGAAATTATTCACATCCTTTTCTTATCTTCCTATGTTGAAAATTCTGGTTGCTATGGCAACAAATAGACTGAATTTCAAGATTTCTGATTCTAGTTTTTAAGTTTTTTCACTATAAGTTCTTTATTTCTTAAGGTATTTTCTTCAAACTTTAAATATAAGTTGCTTGTCATCAACCACATCATATGTGACAAGGTTTACAACTCTAGCACAAAATTTATCAGAATTACCTCCCTTGAACTTGAAATTTTCATGGAAAAAACATTGTTTTTTTTAATAACTTCTTTTTCTGAATGTATCTACTTCAAACTTCATATAAATGTTTCTTATTGTCACTCAACATTTGTGAGTGTTCAATACTCTAGCAAGACTATTTCCAGAATTATGCCCCTTTTGAACTTAGACTTTTTTTTGAGAAATTGGTATTTTTTACTCCAACTTCTTCAATCATGATAGGATTTTAAAAATGTTATATTTTGATAACAGGGATGCTTAAAAAATAACTTTAGAGTGTCTTTCAGTCTGTCTGTACATAAAAACTATTTCCTGTGATCACTTTTAAAGAACTTTTTCAACAAATTTACTTTAAATAGGAACCTAAGTGAATGGCCAATGGCCCATAGAATGTTGCTTGGGCTCTTACCGGTAGGGGACTTATGGATTGCTTGCAATACTATGATAAGTGCTTGTTGTAAAAGTTTTGGGCATTTTATGTTTGTCACAACAGTTGCTTTGTCAGTCAGCCGATAACATATGTTCAATTCATGAATATATACAATTATTTTTCCAGTCCTGTTACAAAAATCTGACAACAGGACAACAAAGTCTTGGGTGCATTGACAATCAGGTAATTAAAATCCTTCTATTCAGTATAATTGTTGAGGAAAATTGTTTGAAAGAGACTTTGGCGGCTGTAAAAAGTCGCCCCGTACATTTAATCAATGATGTTATATTTTCGATCCTTGAAGATCGTTCAGCACGACATTATTGCTGTGCTTGTGGTATTTTTAGTTTCAACTCTTTGCCATTTTCTAGTTGGGTGGTTCCAATATTCCTACTTGAATAATGTTGAATCACCCTTAGGATATGTTGCCTGCTTTTTAAATTTGTCTTTTGACGTCTTATCTGTGATCAGCATGCTTCATAACCTCTGATCCCCTTTCAAAATTCTATTTTATTTAGTTCCGCCCATTGTTTTCTCGTTCAGGGCACACGCTTTGTTACTTGGGGACCATACGCCGCTTTTCATGGAATGGCACGGAAGTGTCACATTGAAGGTTCCATGATAACCGTCGTATGAACACATCTGTGGATGTTTCTAAATTCAAAATTCTACCATTTCATGTTTAAATGTTGAATTCTGCTTAAGCCGGTGCTAGGGGGCGTGGACGGTAACTTGCACTTTCCAGTACCGTCCATGAACAGGCTCAATCAAACCGAGCCTGCAACATTTTCAATTTTGCCGTGTTGGGCTTTCTTTAGGGATTCTTTATTTATCTATTTTATGATCACATCCGTGTTATTTGTGCCGTGTGGCGGCTGTAAAAAGTCGCCCCGTACATTTAATCAATAATGTTATATTTTCGATCCTTGAAGATCGTTCAGCACGACATTATTGCTGTGCTTGTGTTTTTTTTGGTTTCAACTCTTTGCCATTTTCTAGTTGGGTGGTTCCAATATTCCTACTTGAATAATGTTGAATCACCCTTAGGATATGTTGCCTGCTTTTTAAATTTGTCTTTTGACGTCTTATCTGTGATACGCAGGCTTCATAACCTCTGATCCCCTTTCAAAATTCTATTTTATTTAGTTCCGCCCATTGTTTTCTCGTTTAGGGCACACGCTTTGTTACTTGGGGGCCATACGCCGCTTTTCATGGAATGGCACGGAAGTGTCACATTGAAGGTTCCATGATAACCGCCGTATGAACACATCTGTGGATGTTTCTATATTCAAAATTCTACCATTTCATGTTTAAATGTTGAATTCTGCTTAAGCCGGTGCTAGGGGGCGTGGACGGTAACTTGCACTTTCCAGTATCGTCCATGAACAGGCTCAATCAAACCGAGCCTGCAACAATTTCAATTTTGCCGTGTTGGGCTTTCTTTAGGGATTCTTTTATTTATGTATTTTATGATCACATCCATGTTATTTGTGCCGTGTGGCGGCTGTAAAAAGTCGCCCCGTACATTTAATCAATGATGTTATATTTTCGATCCTTGAAGATCGTTCAGCACGACATTATTGCTGTGCTTGTGGTATTTTTAGTTTCACAACTCTTTGGCATTTTCTAGTCGGTCGGTTCGAATATTCCTACTTGAATAATGTTGAATCACCCTTAGGATATGTTGCCTGCTTTTTAAATTTGTCTTTTGACGTCTTATCTGTGATACGCAGGCTTCATAACCTCTGATCCCCTTTCAAAATTCTATTTTATTTAGTTCCGCCCATTGTTTTCTCGTTTAGGGCACATGCTTTGTTACTTGGGGACCATACGCCGCTTTTCATGGAATGGCACGGAAGTGTCACATTGAAGGTTCCATGATAACCGCCGTATGAACACATCTGCGGATGTTTCTAAATTCAAAATTCTACCATTTCATGTTTAAATGTTGAATTCTGCTTAAGCCGGTGCTAGGGGGCGTTGACAGTAACTTGCACTTTCCAGTACCGTCAATGAACAGGCTCAATCAAACCGAGCCTGCAACATTTTCAATTTTGCCGTGGTGGGCTTTCTTTAGGGATTCTTTATTTATCTATTTTATAAATTATTTCAACGCATTCATCTGTGTCTTATAAAAGAATGAACTAGAAGTTCACAGGTCAGAAATGACAATTTGTGTACGGAAAAGTTTTAACAGAAAAATACCAAATATAAAAAGATATGAGTTATAATGTATTTTGTTTAATTTTAACATGCATTTTCCAGTACCGTCCATGAACAGGCTCAATCAAACCGAGCCTGCAACATTTTTAATTTTGCCGTGTTGGGTTTTCTTTAGGGATTCTGTATTTATCTATTTTAAAAGTCTGAAAGAAATATTGAATGTGAGAAAATTGACATATTTCTGCTGGAAAAAAGTCAATTTCTTTCTTTTTCTTTCTTTTGTTGGATTTAACGTCACGCCAATACTATAAATGTCATATTGATACTTTTCTGTCCTTTTTATTTTTACAGTTAGTAATTAAACAGTCAGTAAAGTTCTTTTTGTTTATCTTCTTTAACAATTCTTTAATTCAGAATTGTGATTCGCATGCTGCAGTTTCTACAATTGTTGGAAGAGATCTTGTATCTAGGGAAACGTCTTCGTGTTTTGAATGCTGCTCCACCGACCGTTGTAACTCCGCCCTTTGTCTCCATCCTGGACGTAAGAGTGATGCTGTTTATGTATTGAATATGTTCTTGTTTATACATTAAGATTTGCTCTTTATTAATTTTGAATTATAAAATACCTTCCCTTAGGGTTAAGTTAACCAATATAAAGAGCACTGAAACACGAGACTATCTGATTTGTACCAGATAGCTGAGTATTTTGTTGTTCTTTCTCTGTTGTATCATAAACGAAATTAAAAATCCTTTACTTAAATCCCAAGACCAAATGTAATCAATTAACGATCAAATGAATATGACTTTATATATATTTTTTTCCCTTTCGCTGACGTACCAGTATGTAAACCCCGGATAAATCAAATAGTTTGTTTATCACCGACAGACAGTGCGGTATCTTAAGTACGGGTAACTTTTACCTACACCCAAGTTTACGCACTGTGCATATATGGGTATATGATTTAATATGACACATTTTCAAAAGAAAGGTCTCCAAACTATTATACAATATGTCGTTAAATGCTGTTCAAAGTAGGTGATAGGAGAAGTTAGTATGAATAATAATAGTCAGCACTAAGAAGTAAATTTTTAAGAATTCACATAAACTTTCTTGTCTGATGACTATATGTATATGTTTATATTAATCTTTGTATAAAGTCTTTTTTGTCGCTGCTAATGTTAAGCTCTTATCTTTACTTGACTGTCTATCTAATCCAAAAGTTATCTCTTGTGTTCTCGGCCTATACATTTCAACAAGGAGGACGTGTTTTTTATTTTTGGAATGGAATTTAACCAAATATTCGAAACGGTGAACTATTGGAATGTCTATTTGTAATTTGAATGTTATCTATGACAAGTTTTCTGGTCAAGCCGGTGCTAGGCGACGTGGGGGGACTTGCACTATATGGTAACGTCATGAACAGACTTAGTTTAACAGAGCCTGTCATATTTTCAATTTAATCGTTTCTGGGTGTTTTATACGGATTTTCCGTTTTCTCTCTTTTACTCTCGTATATCATTGTACTGAATCATAATTAGTTACCAACAACTGGCATTTATTCGCACAAACTGTGTTTATATTTCTTTCAACTATTACGTATATTTTGCAGCAACAATTTGTATTAGTGACAATACTTTATCGTTTGTACAAATTAAAGTTACATATATATTTCAGCCAAAGCGTGTGTGGATGACGAATCAGTGGACTGTGCAAGATTGAATTCTATCTTTAGCATCTGTAGTGACGTAGCACACGCTAAAAGCGTTTGTGCAAAATTCTGTGGACTCTGTATGGGTATGCATTATTCAGTCTTTTTTCAATTTTTTCACTTTGCATCATTTGTAAAAAGCATTAATTGAGGACAGGAAAACTGTTGAAAACAACAATTTTAAGAAAGCTTATTATGAATAAAGAAAGAGAGAGACAGTAGAAGATACCCGGTTCATCATCCTTGAAGAAGTTCAAGCACAGGCACGTTTATTATCTTCTTTGAAGTCAGAGGGTCTGGCTAATACCCTGCCCCAGGGTAAGACAATTGCATCTCTAATTTTACAATGTTAACAACAGAGGAACAAATTATAACCGAGACAGGGAAAACTATATAAACTATATAACACTAATGACACTAAACATTATACCTGTATATGCAGTTCGCCTGACCGGTTCAACAATTTTGTTTCCTGTTTAATGTGTTATACATGTACTGGAAATACAATATCTTACTGTTTGCACATGTAGTGTGCTCATCTCAAGAAATGAATTTTAAGTGTTTATGATTGATTTCTTGTAGTTTGACAAAAGATTATTTAAAATTTTTATTGCAAGATGAAATTCAGAAAGGAAAATTGTTTTTTTTTATGGACGGCAGTTTATTTTAGTTGACGGAAATTGGACTTTGTGGTCAACATGGAGTAAATGCGATGTTACCTGTGAAAATGGACATCAAACTCGGACTCGAACCTGCACTCATCCGGCACAAAAGAATGGCGGCCTTAATTGTGTTGGAGACGGGATAATGACAAAAGTTTGTAAGAAAGAACAACCATGCCCTGGTTAGGTCTATACAATTTTCTACGACAATGTTAGATTATCATGTATTTAATGATAAAGCTTTTTACTATACATAAGCACATATATCCCATCAGATAAAACTATATATGTTTATTAATTACAAACCAGTGAGAGCAAATTATTTATTTATCATGATTATTAACTGTTAAGTATAGGATTTAAACCTGTACATGACGCATACGTACTATTAAAAGAAACTGTTCTATCCCTTTTTTCATTACCTTATTGGCAATCCCTGAGGGAGTTTAAAATAAGACTCTTATATAATACAACATTGATTTCCAATTCATTCCTAATTCATAATTATTGAAACGATAACAATAAATATTTAAAATCGAGTACAATACACGTTTATTCAATTTAAAATGGCACACTATCGTTTGATTTTAAGTTCATGGCGGGTGGAGTGATTGGTCAAATTGGGGCACGTGCTCAGTAACATGTGGCATGGGCTTGCAACGTCGCACAAGGACATGTTCTAATCCACCGCCAATTCTCGCTGGAAATCATTGTTTCGGAGACAGATCTGAAACACAACTTTGTATGCCTTCACCATGTGCAAGTAAGTATTGAATTGACATAATATTTGATCAATATCAAAGTCAAAATATGTTTTAAGCATAAACCAAATATAAGTGAAGCAAATTCGATTAATAAAATGCGTTAATCATTTTATCCCGACAATCAGTCTACATTTTATCTGTTTCAGCATGAACCATGTATAATTGAAGCCAACTGAAGTCATTGTACACGAACAAGAATGTTTGACTAAATATAATAAAGGCCATACATGTTGTAGCCAAATGCCACTCCAAACATTTTAAATATATTTAGATGCCAAAAAATAAATAAAATAATAAAAAAATAAATAAAGAAATAAAAATATATCAAAAGAAAATAATTAGATATTCTCAAATAAAATCTTTTTCCTCATCATCCAATTTTACACATTATATTGAACCACCTAAAAAGAAGAATATTGAAAATAATTTTGAATGATATTGAAACATTTTTCATCCTTACGAAGTCATCCCGAGCATGATTTTGCGCTGATGGACATTTTTCGATACACAACTCTAAAAGATAGCAAAGCTTTATGATGTGATTTGTAATTGTTCTAGTAAATCAATCGTAGGGATGCAAACCGGTTAGGTGAGAAATTATAAATCTACCAATCGTCGTTTTATTATTAATTTTCAATTTTTGCTTTTAATATGATCTGAAAAATATTTTACAGACGGCGGTTGGAGTGACTGGACTTCATGGAGTTCATGCAGTGCAACTTGTGGCGGAGGAATAAGAACTCAAACGAGGTCATGCTCGAATCCTTCCCCATCACCATACGGACAAAGTTGTGTAGGATCAAATGACAGAGTGGAGTCCTGTGCTAATAATAACTGCGGTATGACATTTGACTGAGATTGATTACAAGAAAACAGGACGTTTCAGTCACAAACTGAATCTGCCACAATGTCTCAATTTATTTTTACTTATATACTACGAAATGTTTGTTGCATACAGCATGTTTATACTTTTTTGAACTTATACAAAGTGGGACCGATATATCTTGGACGGAAACGTCTTGGAGTCAAATTGACGCAAAATCGCTGATAACCGTACAAGATGCTCTAATATCATGAACATGTCATTCAATTGAAAATCTAATATGATATTTAAGAAGGAATTGCGATCACAATTTTGTAGATGTATGGTATTGTGGTTGTATCTTAATGACTTTCATGCTTTTTTAACTTTCAAATTTCGTGAGTTTGACGAGTATAATATTATATTGTTTACAACACAAAACAATCATATTATGTCTACGGCATTTGCAATTAAAGACATATTTGGAATATTGAGCTGGTCATTTTGCTTATAAGTTTTTTTTCTCACTAGCTGGATAGAAAAAATCGAAAATATTACTAAAAGTAACGGTTTTGGAAACTCTTATCCCACGTGGGCTTATCTCACACTCCACGTGCAGCACTTCATTTACTTATTTCTAACACAAACACGATAATCACTCCTATTTTGACAAAATTTACCGTCACGAGGGCCAAATGTATCAAATATGTGAGCTAATCTATTACATTGTCCACGGAATCAAAATAAATTGATATAAACTTTCACACTTCAATGAGTCTTACTCTACCTAAAGGCCCTGTCACACTAGACTGCGCTTTCACTGCGTTTGCACGGCGTTGTTAAATTTAACAAAGCGCCGACAGATCGCAAGAAAACTTTGATATTTTTGATGACATGGAGACTTCACGGCGTCTTCATGGCGTCCTCACTAAAATCATGGCGTTGCTACGGAGCTTCCACGGCGTTGAAATGCGTTCTTACGGCGTTTTCATTGGCAAGTGTCTGCGTTTCGACTGCGCTTCTACTGCGTTCTTTGCGCTTCCACTGCGCTTTCACAGCGCTCAAACGGTGCTCTTGCGTGGCTCACACTGCGCTGAAATCGTGCTTCACATAAAAGCGAATACTCATTCTGAATAGTTATGTACCTGCTGCACCTGCATGCAAACAAGCAATATTCCAGCTTGCTGCAGTTCATCATCAATTTTTAAAAAGATATTCACGTTCTATATATACAGTGAAAACCCTAAATTAAGACCACCAAAGTTGTCTTGATTGCGGGTGGTCTTAATTGTGGATATAATTAATCATCAAGGCATATCTATTTCATGACCACTCTATTTGAATTATTATGTATAAACATGTTGAAACAATTATATTATAACCTTCAAATATATCTATAAACTGATGTTATAATATTTATTAATCCGAATTAGAACATTAATCTGATGATATTTAATGTATATATTATATTTTCATAGGTCTTGTTCATAATATGTACATAATTCACCTTTTAATTTAGAAATTAATTCGTCACAAAAATATGCAGAAAGTAACATTATACCAATCTGAAGTTTTGTGTCTTACCTTTATAAAATATTCTAATCATAACAGTTTTAACACATTGTTCAAGTGTCATGCTTTAGAGAATTCAAGCAGATGTATAACAAAAAAACTTGTTATCTGAATAGGTATTTACTGAAATATTAGTAGTCTCAAAAGTGGGGTTAGATAAATAAAACAATGAATTGGGACTAAAGCTGGTGGCCTTAAATGTGGATGAGTGGGGTAGTCTTAATTGTTTATCATGTTACCATTATCATCACAAACAGAAAATTCCTTTCTATAAAAAAATGGGTCTAAATAGAGGGTTGGTCCTTATTCTGGGGTGGTCTTAAGAATGGATTCTACTGTATCGTATTCTGCAATTTCAGATGAACGCAGTAGAATGGTCTTGACTGCGCAATGGTCGCCGTGACAGTGCCATAGAGTTGCAGTAAGAGCGTTTTAGAAAAAAAAAGCTCCGTAAAAGCGCCGTACACACGCAGTACAAACGCGATAGAGACGCCGCACAATCTCCGTAAAAGCGCCGTTGCTAATAACGGCGTTTATTCAGCGATCCTTCTGCGCTTTCACGGCGCTCCTGTTGCGTTGTAGGAGATGTTACTGAGTTGCTACGGCGTCCATATTGCGATCCCACAGCGCTCTTTTCAGACCGCCGAGTGACGGCGTTTGTTTTGAGCATGCTAAAAATGGGCGCCGTCGGTCGGCGTTCTATGCGATGCTACTGCGATGCTATGACGATGCTGCGGCGATGTTTGCGATCCTACTGCCCTTACCTCGGCATTCTGAATTTCCTTGGACGCCGTGAGACCGCCGCCCTAGTGTGACAGGGGTTTAAGATAAACTTTTTCCTTATCGATCTGTTACTAAAAAAGCACACTTTAAAATATCGCGAAATTCTTTGTAGAATCGAATATTGTGCATTTTGGCTGGAAAACATCCATATTTTCTGTACTGATAACGATGCTTCTCGGTGACAAATACATTATAATGTATTTCAATTGAATATTTGAACCAAATAAGTAGAAAAATCTTTGCAAACGGTAAAAAAATGTTTTTGTCAACCATTGAAAAAAGGACTGAATTCCTTATAAACATTTATGTAATTACATTTTCCGACTTTGATATTGATGTATTTTTAACCTATCTTTTTGATGAGGAATCTCATTTGATTTTTTTAAAAAATATTTTACACATAAACAGTATCAGTAGAATTATTTTGCGGACGTAAAAATGCTTTTTGTCAATCATAGAAAATCAGTCGCCTAAGCCCCGCCTTTCAAACTAGGTTGTAATGCGCGAGCAAGTAGTTTCACTGATTTTTATTTTTTGTTTCTTGTGTGTCCAAGTGAGTGAGAAAAATAATCTATCATTGCGTAAGATAGACGATAGGGAAATCCCAACCCTCGAGTAAGGCGAGTTCCCTATGGAACCGATCACCCTCAGGTTGGGATTTCCCTATCATCTATCTAACCGAATAATAAATTCTATTAACCTTTGAAGTTGTTGATCCACAATTTTTCTATTCAGCTGTTTTGTGATGTCACAGCGTTAATTTCTTTGCAATGAAGAAATGTCTTCGTTGTAAATATTTTAGTTTCCCGAGACCTAAGCCTACTATACTAATAGTTATATCAAAAATATAATTACTTAGTCAAACAACTCACCAGAAAGTGTTGCAAATCTCTTAAGTACAAAATATCTATTAATATCCTTTATACATTTTTAAAAAAAAATGTAAAACTAAATAAGATACAAACCGTCAGCCTCCAAAATAAACATATATATTGATTATTTTATTTCTTTAAGCTTGATTCATTTGGGAACTGTCCAGTTTAGGTTTGACCCACATAATAAAATCGTTTAAAAACGTCAGTTTCTGTTTTTATTCGTAACCATTATTGCAAAAATTTCGAATATGTTCGTAGAATGTTTCTGGTTCCCGTTTGCGCCGAACAGACTATTCTAAATTTGGAAACAGTTTTGTCATCCGAATTTTCAACATAACCGCTCGCGACTGCGGGGCAGAATTTCAAAAA